GTGCTTTGCCCATTCTTCCTCATTTCTCTCTTTGCCTTTGACATAAACCATCATAAGCATATCGAGGAAGAGTTGTGTTTCGATTGATACGTCATCTTCGTTATGTCTCTGCACCACTGTGCCAATGCTTATTATGTTTTCTCTCTTATCATTGTTGGGGATTGCCTCTCCATATTTCTTTATAATAATGAGGCTCTCTTCATCGCTTCATTCATGAAATATACACTACAATCAATGACAATCGAAAACTNTTTTTTATAAAGGGTGACAATAACCTTCACAATTGGAAACTATACCACATTTTTTTTGTTTTGATCAAATGCGGTCTTTGAACTTGTTATTTTTTTCTAAAAAGAAAGTATAATTAATTCCACCAATGGACAAATGCCACATCCTTGTCTTGGCCTTTTGGCATACCTTTTGATTGGATTCAGATCTCCCGTTACACCTTTTCTCCAATTTTATTCAATGGCCTATCCGAGAAGTGACACTTAAAAAAAAATTATATCAACAGGCAAGATTCTTTTTAATAAACTAGAGTTCTTAACCAAATTTAACTTCATCATCTTCACGTCAAAACAAATAAAGGCCATAAACATTGGCTTGGCTTGATAGAACGTTTGTTTTGACGTAAATATGATGGAGTTTTCTTTGGTTAAAGACTCTGGTTTATTAAAAAGAACCTTGTCCATTGAAATAAATTTTTTTTGACGTATCACTCATCGGATAGGCCATTGAGGGAAATTGAAAGAAATGGATAATGGAGGGAATCTGAATCCCGTTTCATTGAGATCTCTTAGTTTGATTATGTAGGGTAATCAATGAAGATTTATCGTGTCATTTAATCGTATCAAGTACCAATTAATTTTAATTTAAATTATTTAATTAATCATGTCATATGATACAATATTAATCCAAACTATTTATTAATGATGTCATGTTCGAGTTAACGCAAACATCCAAGAGTAGACTTTTTTACTCTCTCAAACAAACCACCATTCACACGGCTCCATAAACTAAAATTCTCCTTAATCTTTATGCTAGCCAAACTAAGTAAAAAAAAACCTACAATTTTTCTAAGATTCATACAATACTTGCTTAAGAAATTAAGAAAAAAATCAGATATTTATTTTTCATACAACACATGTTAAACGGATTTATCGTGTAAAAAATAAACTGTCGTGTTTGCAACTAACATAACCTGTTTATATTCGTTTTATTTGATTGTGTTTTTCAAATTCAAGTGAAGAACCACTCAATCCCATTTCACAAACTTCATGTCGAGTCAGTGTCGAGTCAAAAATTACCGCTAATGCAATACAATAAGGGAAACTAAAATAATCACATGCTAAACGACAAAGTACAACCACTAACCCAAAATAATTCATCGTTAAAATATGGGACCATATCTTTGCAAAATAGGCAACTAATTTCCACTTGCTTGATCTTATGACGTGCACAAAGATTCAGCTTGGTAAAACATCACATCCATAGCATTGTTCACGTTCCAACTTGACACCCAACTCCACTTATGTCTCCAACATTTCCACTACCACAGAATTTAGAAAGTGCCCTACAAGCACTTTCTTGGGTTTATATGACCTTGTTCTCCTGCATATAGTTGCAACAACAATAACATCAAACACAGCGAATTCACATTCTAGTTATCCTAATATTACTATAATAAAAAATATGACTTGTTAGAGTGGTTCTTCCACATATAATTGAATCATTTTGTGCAGCGTTGGATCTAGAACCATAGATTGACAATTTCATAATTTGTACTATAAGTGTGTGTTGCATTATGAAGCAGATATCACTTGGAAAAGCTATGACTAGCCTCAAGAGCACTAGAGGATTCAAAGAGCATAAGGTCAAAGAAGAAATCAAATCGACTCGAGGGGAGGACGACTTCAACAACCGGATGATTCTGAGCGCTAAAAATAGTTGTGTCTAGGTCAATTAGGTCACATCTGTAGTGTAGGCACACTTCTTTAGGTCCAAACCAGCTTGTCCTTGAAGTTAATTAGTAATGTTCTGCTGATTTTTGCCCTCTTAATTTCAAAAAATTATATAATTTCAACCATGTGTTTTTTGAACCCCATGATGCAATAAAAACTTTGAATGCAATCACTTGTAAACCTTGGAAAATGGTTAAATTTTGGTTTCTTACAATCAAGAAAACTTGAACTTAGGATCTGTGGATTTAAGTCGCGCCAATGGTTTGAGTGTAGGTTAATATTCATTTCATTTCGACACAATAACAAACCATTTTCTTGACAAGGAACATACTAATCTTACACAACCTACTAATGTTTAATAATGTTCAGACAAGTTCATTATAAGTGTACTCCTACTGCCTGTTTTAATCCAGATGAGCTTTATAATGTTCAAACAACCTACTAATGTTTAATAATGTTCAGACAAGTTCATTATAAGTGTACTCCTACTGCCTGTTTTAATTCAGACAAGCTCATTATAAGTGTACTCCTACTGTCTGTGTCCTTATTCTTGCCATCAATACTCAACAAGGTGCCAAGCAAACTATCACATATATTCTTCTCTAAGTGCATGACATGAAGGTTATGTCGAATCTTAAGCACATGCCAATATGGTAACACAAAAAAAATGTTCTTCTTTGTCAAATTAAGTTCCTCAGATAACCGCTTTCTTTTTCGATTGTTTGGATGTTTCCCGAATTGCACATTTGGTAGACACTCCAATTGATCTAAAATCTCTTGCCCCGATAACTCACAAAGTTTTATTTTTTTTTCTCAATCTTACCATTAAATAACTTACTTCGTCGCCAGCTGTGATCTTGCAGCAAAAAACGACGATGACCTGTGTAATCTATTTTGCTTCTAAATGGCTGTGATAATGCATCAAAATTACAAGTGGGGCATGCCTTATAACCTTTTGTACTCCATCCAAATAGGTTACCATAAGCAAGAAAATCATTTATGGTCCACATAATAGTTGCATGCATTAAACATGCATCAAAAGTTACAACACCTTCCCATAATTCTTTCAACTCATCAATTAACGAGCGCAAGTATACATCAATCTGCTTCCTGGGTGCCTGTGGTCCTAGAATAAGCAATGACATCATGAAGAATGGATCGCTCATACATTTCCAGGGAGGCATGTTGTAAGGCACCAAGATCACAGGCCACATACTATAAGAGTTGTTCATGTTCTCAAAAAGGTTAAAATCATCAGTGGTCAATTCAAGCCTAACATTACAAGCGTCCCAAGCGAAATTAGGATATTGTTTATCACAGTCTTTCCATTCTTCAAAATCACCAGGATACCTTGAAAAATTGTCGCCATCCACTCGCTTCTCTTGGTGCCACCTCATATCTATAGTCGTCTTCCTCGACATAAACAATTTATGTAACCTTGGTTTCAAGGAAAAGTATCGCAAGATTTTATAAGGTGTCTTCTTATCCTTACCATCATTGAGCTGATATCTTGACTCCCCACATACTGTACATTTATCCAATTTTTTATTCTCCTTCCAAAATAGCATACAATCATACATGCATGCATGAATAGATACGTATCCCAATCCCAAAGCTCGTAAGAATTATTTAATTAATCATGTCATATGATACAATATTAATCCAAACTATTTATATTCATTTTATTTGATTGTGTTTTTCAAATTCAAGTGAAGAACCACTCAATCCCATTTCACAAACTTCATGTCGAGTCCATGCGTGTCAAAAATTACCGCTAATGCAATACCGTAAGAGAAACTAAAATAATCACATGCTAAACGACAAAGTACAACCACTAACCCAAACAAAATTCATCGTTAAAATATGGGACCATATCTTTACAAAATAGGCAACCAATTTCCACTTGCTTGATCTTATGACGTGCACAAAGATTCAGCTTGGTAAAACATCACATCCATAGCATTGTTCACGTTCCAACTTGACACCTAACTCCACTTATGTCTCCAACATTTCCACTACCACAGAATTTAGAAAGTGCCCTACAAGCACTTTCTTGGGTTTATATGACCTTGTTCTCCTGCATATAGTTGCAACAACAATAACATCAAACACAGCGAATTCACATTCTAGTTATCCTAATATTACTATAATAAAAAATATGACTTGTTAGAGTGGTTCTTCCACATATAATTGAATCATTTTGTGCAGCGTTGGATCTAGAACCATAGATTGACAATTTCATAATTTGTACTATAAGTGTATGTTGCATTATGAAGCAGATATCACTTGGAAAAGCTATGACTAGCCTCAAGAGCACTAGAGGATTCAAAGAGCATAAGGTCAAAGAAGAAATCAAATCGACTCGAGGGGAGGACGACTTCAACAACCGGATGATTCTGAGCGCTAAAAATAGTTGTGTCTAGGTCAATTAGGTCACATCTGTAGTGTAGGCACACTTCTTTAGGTCCAAACCAGCTTGTCCTTGAAGTTAATTAGTAATGTTCTGCTGATTTTTTACCCTCTTAATTTCAAAAATTTATATAATTTCAACCATGTGTTTTTTGAACCCCACGATGCAATAAAAACTTTGAATGCAATCACTTGTAAACCTTGGAAAATGGTTAAATTTTGGTTTCTTACAATCAAGAAAACTTGAACTAAGGATCTGTGGATTTAAGTCGCGCCAATGGTTTGAGCGTGGGTTAATATTCATTTCATTTCAACACAATAACAAACCATTTTCTTCACAAGGAACATATAATCTTACACAACCTACTAATGTTTAATAATGTTCAGACAAGTTCATTGTAAGTGTACTCCTACTGCCTGTTTTAATGATCTTATTTAAGCAAACATGTGAAAGATATAATCAAGGATAAACCTCAATAAAAGACCTTAAGTCCCAGGTGCGATCATTCCAGCACTAATGCAACGGATCTCATCAGAAATTCACAGTTAAGCGTGCTTGGACGAGAGTAGTTCTAGGATGGGTGACCCCCTGGGAAGTCCTCGTGTTACACCCCCTTAAAAAAAAAGGCC